TGTCGTTGGACGCTGTGTGGTTCCAGCTTTCAGATGATTTATTTTGCTTAGACAGAGAGCCGAAGCGTTGACAGGCGACGTGCTCGAGTCGCAAAACTGTGATTGAGCTGGCCAGGCCGAGGAAACGTTGTAATTTCAGAGACGCCTAACCTATAGTTAAAAATATAATCTAATTGAACAGGAAGCGGCGGGTATTACTTTATATGTGCCATTCAATTAGCTAAAAATTCAAATATATGGCTCAGACACATGCCTGTCAGACTTGTAAAGAGCTCCATCTGATTTTCACTTTAAGATTTATATTGAAGACCCGAACGGAAATAATTGAAGTACACTCAACCCAGAATGAAAATGCGAATAATGAAAATAATGTATAATATTGTTGACTGAGTTCTAAGTAAGAAAACAAAGTAGTAGTAGAGTAGTAGAATTTCTTAACACAGGTTCTTAAAAAGGTTTTCATTTAATCTCTTCTCGTCGGATTTGTATTAATTTGTTATTAAACGTAGCAAATACTCTACATTAACTTTAAGTAGTTCAAATTGATCTACTGAATAACATCTTAAACATTTTTGAAATTCATTTCTGTCTGATATTATAAGTTAGCTCAGTCTATGTATAGTCACTTAGAGTATCCTTCTGAATATTGAATTCAGCACGAAAAATGCCCCATTTAATCCCTTCTTGTCGGCTTTTTAATAATGTCTTAGTAAACGTATCAAATTCTCTATCTAAGCTTTAGGTAGCTCCAGTTTTTTTCTTAATAACAATACAAAATATATTTAACTTTCTTTTAGAATTTCCTATATTTATTACATAAAGCAAACAATCACAATGTTTTTTTTATAAAGTGTCTTATCTATTCCATTGTTAAGTGAGAGTTTTTATTATAAGTATAATAGTTTCTTAATAATCCTCACGTAACTTGTATCTTGGAAGAGTTTATCCTCAACCAAGAACCCAATCAAATCGGGTGTTTGATCTTTGCGGAGGCTTTAGAGGAAGGCGTCTCTCTCTCCTCTTCAGCCTCCGAATCGCAATTTCTGCTTGGTGATTCTAGTAGTTATTTGTGGATCGATACATCTCTTTGAAGCGTGGAATCGGGAACGTAGCAACCACGTTCTTGCATGACTTGAACTTGGTTTAATTTAGGCTTTTCGGAAATTCGCCATATTTAGGAATGAAAGGCAGGCATTGGTAGAACAAAATAAAAAAATATATGCATTAATTAAACAAAAAAAAAAATCAAGAATTCTAGAGCAAATAATTAAAGCTCCGCCTAATTAAGAACTGCTTTTCGTCGAACCAATTCAAGTCCGGGTTTTCTATTAGTTTTTCATGATCAGGAACCCAACCTTAAGCAAAACCAAACTTAGGTTTGACGCAAACCAAAACATGGTTCAGGAGCCAAAACTCAATGCAGTGAATATTGATTTGGTTTATGCTTGTTTTTAGCGCTGGTTCAAAATACGTTCATAGCCAACCAAAAACAATAAGCTTAAATGCAATGTTTAACCATTATCGTTCATTATCGTTTAGCTTAAGGTATTATTTTTGATCCGAGGTTTTCCTGTGACTCGCTCTCTCTGCATAATGCCTGGGGCTTTTGCGGTGATGTCAAGTCACCATTTGGCTCATCTCTCATTTGGTTGACTTTGCCCACATAGCCATATCAAATGAATGGAATCTCGCCAGTTGAAAGCTTGTGGCACGAATTGACTGCCAGACCGCCCGCCCAGCGGCAACTGTTTGGCGAACAGCTCTGCTGATTTTGGCTTTAAGTTTTGATGGCTTATCAGCCAAAAAGGCTGCACAGCCAGGCAATTGTCATGGGGATCGGAACTTGGAACTGGGAATATGGCATTTGTTGCAATCTACTGCAACTACTGGATCTGGGGTATTACAAAAGGTTGCTCTAGCTAGATGCAAATACATATGTATATCTTGGGGCGGGGCGGGCAGCTGAGGTTGTTCTCCCTCAGACCAGCCGGTCCTTTTGGCTTGGATTGTCTACGCGCGCGCCTATCGCGAACTGTCATCATTTTCAAATTATTTCTCGTTGAATATCTAATCAAGATTCATGCATGATCGCGGCTAAATTGCTTCCAGGCAACAACAACAACAGCAACAACAGCAACGGCAACAACAATGCATAATGCAACAAGCACCGTGGCACCACGGCAAGCCAGGCTGGAACGTGCAACAGCATCGGCAACATGCCCCCAAAAAGTCAGACGCTGCCTTTCGGTTGCCTCACTTGAATTTTCTGTTTGAAGTTTTTTCTTATTTATTTTCCTTTTTACTATTTTTTGGCATTGTTTTTCTTGCTGCATTTAATAGTGTTGTTATTGTAGGCCAATTTCTAGCTATTTTTTTTTGGCGGCTCTTGAACCAGTTTTTGTTCGTTCTGCAGGCAGCTTTTCCTGGCCAGGAATTAGCTTTAACAATTGCTTAAAATACAACTCAAATGAATCAGACGCCTTTGCTTGTTTTTAATGTTTACGACTTGCTGTTGTTGTTATTGCACACTCACATGAGTGTGTGTGCGAATGTGTGTGCGAGTGTGTGTGTGTACGTACTTGTACTTGAACTTTAACTCATCTTTATTTTTGCTTAATTGAAACTAGACAGCGGCTGTAGGTAAATATGTAACTCAATTACACACAATGCGCGCCTGTGAGTTGACGACTGAAGTCAATTGCCAGCTACTTGACATGAATCGCCAATGCGCTTGGCAATTGTTCGGCACAGGGTGCTTCAGGTGCAGCTTGTGCAGCAACCAGTGCTGATTATCGCATGTTAAACTGTAGTTAAAGCGGCTGGCAAATGTTGCCAGCTAAATACAGCTATCAAAACGAATTTGATAACATGTTTGTAAATGTTAACATGCTTAAATAAATGTTAACTTTGACATGCACCATAAAGCGTGGAACTGTTTGAACATCTTTTCTATAAAATAAACTGAAATATACTTTTTATTTTAACTTGAATATAGTTTTATAGAGCTTCGTCTCAATCAGATAATATTCAAAAGCTTGTATTTAAGCATGGAAATAGTTGGGTGGAGTGATGTGGCACTCGGATAATATAAATTAAAAGTGTTGTTTTTCGCAGGCTATTTACTTAATGTTGGAAAACATTGCGGTAAATGTTGCCAGCTAAATACGAACATGTTTAACATGCTTAAAAGAATGTTAAATTTGACATGAACCTTAAGCCATGAATCTATTTGGACATCTCTTCTATACAACAAATTGAGATTTTATTAAAACTTGAACTTATCACTCAGATAATATTCATAGGTCTATATTTAAGCTTGGATATAGTTTTTTAGAGTTATATGGCAATCAGATAATATTCATTAAAACCTTGTGGATTTTGAAAACCTTCATCATTTTTGTGATCATGGCATTGCCAGCATAGAAATCTGCAAAATTCAATCTAGAATGATGCATTAATATAAAATACAAACCTTGTTTTATTTTTTGTTGCTTACTTAAGAAAGAAGTTGGTTTATGGTCTAACTTTCCGCTTTTTTGTGTAATGCTATGATAGAATTATAGAATAATGTCTAAAATACAATAGGGGTACAATAGTTTGCAATTGATCTTAAAGAAACTTTTCTTTAGTCCAAAAACTTCATCGAAACTAAAGCGAACTACAGATGAAAGTCTTTTACTTAACCAGAATACAAATCTCAAATTTTTTTAATTCTCTGTTAATTGGAGATAATACATTATAATACATACCTTACAAATGAAATTCGTTAATATCTGTCGATATTTGCAGCCTACAAAAATACATACCATGTCATACCGCAAATCCTTTTATATTTTTCTATAGCTTCTCGGATCTATTATTGTATATAATGCTTCTAAGGGCTATTTACTCGATGCGACGTCTTCTTGTGAAGTGGTTGTAAATGAGATTTTTATTAAATTATCGGCAACTGTTCGTTCGCAGTGTCGTTAATTTGTTGTTTGTGGCTGGTGGTGTTGGTGGTGTTGTTGGTGTTCGTGGCTGCTGTTGCCACTTAATTGTTATTAACTTTCGTGTGACATTTGTGACTTTTGGTGTGGCATCAATTGACGCCCAGTGCTGCGCACCATGCCATCCATATACGGCTCAACTAATTGTTGACCCAAAAATGGCCTTAAAAATTGTTTTTATTAGATTTACAGCCACCGAATGCGCCAGTTGCCCGGGGGCGAGCCGGGACGGGCCTGGGCGAGGCCCCCCACTGGGTAACCAATTTCGAACATAAAGTATTTGTGTGTTAAAACTGAATAAACGAGTACGATATATAATTTCGCCTGCAGCTACAGGTATGACATTTTTATTTAGCCTTCTGCGAAAGGGCCTCCAAATTTACGAGCCTCTCGACCAGTTGCTACGGGGGAGGGGGTAGCGGGTAGCGGGTGTGGCAACTGAAACAGTAACTGAAAAAAGAACGAGTTGGCAGCTCTAAGCGAATGGCGAAACGGGCAATGGGAACGCCCTCGGTTTGCATACCCATATATTTCACATTTATTGTATACTCTTTGCAGAGAGCATGATCATTTGGCCAGGCAGTATGTAACGCATAGCAGTAGATTCCTCTGAATATGGATCAGCATCTGGATCGATCCTCTATATCACTCTATCATAAACCTGCCATAGGAAAAATCTGTCAAAAATAAACAACTTGTTTGTTTTTCGAGATATCTAAACGAAAACTCATCATTTCTTTCATAGGAACAATCGGTTAGGTTTAGATAACTATCTAAGGAAACTGATTTTTGCAAGGGTATTTAAACTTCGTTAGCACGAAGATAACATTTTTTCTTGTATGTTTTTTTGTTGCCTTCGAAAATGATTATCAAGCATGCAAATCTTTGGGCTGCCATCTTCGTGGCGGACTTGCATCGTAAATTGATTTTAATGCTTCTTGTTGTCTGGCAAGAAAAGATTGTGGTCCAAGTCAAATAATGGAAACTCCTCTCGTCTGGTCTCGTTTTCAGCTGGTTGCTGTTGCTACTCGTCTTAAGGGGCAACAACTCGGCGTAATTGAAATTGAATCTCTGCTTGGTGGAGGCGTTAACTAGACGAGACGAGAACGACCAGGATGGTGCTTGTGCTGAATGGTGTGCTGCAGGATGACTGCCCGATGGACACAAACAGCCTGTTCCTGCAGCATCCTGTCTACAGAGATTATGCACAGCAGCTGCATTCCATACAGGCCAAGTCTGTCGGCCCAGTGGGCCTGCTCTATGTCGGACAGCGGGAGCTGGCCGCTGCCGCACCACACGACAAGAACATCAACATCATTGGGGCCGACGATGCCACCACCTGTATTATTGTTGTTGTGAGGCATTCAGGTGAGTCGTAAATTGGCTTCGTTTGCCTTCTTTGAAACTAAACACAAGTTTTTGTTGTTGCGGCAGGCTCTGGCGCGGTGGCATTGGCGCATTTCGATGGCAGCGGCGTGGATGAAGCCGTTTGCACAATGGTGTCGCGTGTCCAGGAGCTGGCACTGGGCTATCCGGAAGGACGCATTGAATTGCAGCTGATTGGTGGCTATCGGGACTCGCAAGGCTATGGCGAGGATGTCTTCTATAGCATTATGCGTAAGTCACATGCTTTTCCCTTTTGGCCAGTTCCCCAGATCTTACTCATCAGCTGCAATCCCTTACAGAATCATTCCACAAGCATCACCTCGAAATCGATTTGACGCAGGCTTGCGTGGGCGAGCTGAACACAATGCTGCGCGGCGAGATCAATTGCCCCATCATCTATGGTGTGGGCGTCAACATCAAGACTGGCGAGATTTTTCCGGCCTCCTTCCCGGACCGGGGACCCGATCGACAGCTGCGCGACGCGCGCATCTTTATGGGCTCACAGACGGTGTGTGCGCCGAGAGCAACTGCCTCCAGTCTGGCCTGGCTAGCCTTAATCTATTTTCTATTTTCATTGTGTGTGTGTTTGCAGGTGCTGGACGTTTATGACTCAACGCTGGGCATGCTGCGCATCGGACCCTTCAATTATGATCCATTGCGCGGCGCCGACTTGTGGCTGTCGCAAACAGATGAGTTTCTGCTGCAGCATTTGTCCTCCAGTCCCGACGTGGAGCCGCCGCACTTTGCGCCCCAGGTGCGTTTAACACAAGACACCTTGTGGCATATTTAGCTAATTTGCCTTCTTTTACAGATGCGTGCCACCATTCGATTTATACAGGAGAACCAGTTTCCCGCTGTCACCGTTTTCAGGGATAATCGACCCCGTTATTATAGACGCGATGATGCCACGGGCTGCTGGGTTTTGGTTAGATATTAAAGCTTAATTTAGTTCTTAGTTGTTACGCAAGTAGTGAAAACCGTTTTCTTGTCGGAGAACTCCCTAATACATCTGTACATCACATACTGTCAATCAGATGTCAATCGGTGCATGTGTTATTTTCGTCATTTCGTAATATACCACCCGATTCTTGATTCCCGATTCTTGTACTTTAACTACCTGCATATATATTTATATATATATATATACATATATATATATATATATACTTATCTATACCTTCTACTTATAATCGTTGCTTCTCTGCTTACATTTTTGCAATTTAATTGTTGAGTTAATTGTTTTTGGCTGTAATTAATTTCGATGCGATTGCAATTGCAATACATGCTTTATTTATAACTCGATTAGGGCAATTGCAAGCTGCTTTTGTTTAATTCGCATCCAATCGAGTCTTGTATTGTATTGTATATCAAATATCATATTCTTTTTTAATTACACATTAGGTTCGAGATTGAGTTCGGATATATATTCAAACGTATATACATATATATATATATATATACATAGAGAACACCGTTTGGAATGCGCCTTATTAATGGATCTGAAAGTAAAACGATATATTATTGTGTATGCATATATGTAAATATATATATGTATGTAATTCTTATTAACAGAATTGAAACGAAATATTTAAAAGAGATTCTTAGCTAAATATATATACACAATATGTAAGCGAAATATTTAAATGCAATCATCTTAGTTTTTAAACTGTAAACTGTAATCAAACTTAATGAAATTAAAAATGGCTTGGCTATTCGTACATACATACCACAAAATAATGCTTACATTTGTTTTATTACTTAATAAATGCTATAATAAATCAAATATGATATTCCGTTTTAAAATCCGTTAAAAATAATCATTTATTTTACTGCAATGCTATTTAACTGTTAACGCAATGTTGGGACTCTGTTTAGTTAACAGATCTGCTCCTCCGTGGCCGCTTTTTTGCCTTGCCCAAACACGGTCACACTGTTCGCGATTTGTCATCTAATCGATTGTGCGATCTATCGACAGTCGTGTCGTCGTTGTCTCGGGCTGTGTTACTGGGTGGGCTAGAAATTTTCGAATTAATTCTATTTCGCATTGATTAATTGCTTTATGATATAACTACGACTACTGCAACACATTCAAATTGGGTTGCGCTTGCGACGCAAGCAACTTTTGGAGGACTACAAACAACTAAAAAGACTGAAACTCAACGATTTCTAATCACACTCGAAAGACTTTCTACCACAAACCACGAAGTAACATCTCACACTGCTGACAGCCACAGCGGAAAAACGCTCGCCACACATACGACACATATCACTTAGAAGAAGAAAAAAAAGTGTGCCAAAGCCAGCCCGCCTGTAAGCCACACGGCCGAAATCAGCATAAAAACAAATAAGAATTTGTATAAATACAGAAGAGCAAAGCGGATCAGAGCAACAAATAAACCAATTGGCTGGCCGCTTGGCGACTGTAGTGAAAATTGATGCACACAGGGGGCGCTGCAGAGGCACGGGCCGTGTTTTTCCGAGTTTCGCTTTGGACAACGACGACGACAACGTAAGTAGTTTGGAATTTTGTTAATTACTGGCATTTAAAGAGACAAAAGTAGAACGTAATTATGTGTGTGTGGCAGAAGTTAAACGATACGCGTACACACACATACACCTGTGCAAACGCTTAGCATATAAATGTGCAGGAAACAGGCCATGTTTACAGTTATTTCTCATGCATTTCGGCATAGAGTTGCCAGCACATGCCAAAATAAGTATAGACAATTCTGTGATGAGTATTAACGGTTATCTTCAGTATATGTATATATAAATACATATATATTACACATGTGTGTGTGTGCGTTCCGCTTGCAGTGAAATCGAAATTAAGATTTGCAAAAATTTGTATGTGACAGTGGCGAAAAGAAAAAGATTGTGCGCTGCATAATTAATGATTTTTGATATATTTTTGCAGCAATAAAACAGTTCCATAATGAACGGCAAGACGCCATTAAATGGTGGCGGAGCCAGCGTTGATTTGTATATAACGCATCTGGATCATGTTGGACCCTATTTAAAACTATACGGGCAGGCTAATCGGGATGCCGCCTTTCTGGTCAGCACGCGCATCGAGACGCTGCTGCCCACCTGCTTTGCCATAGACCCAAGCTGGTCAAATGAGCGCCAACAGGCGCTGCTCACACCCGGCACCTTTTGCGTGTTCAAGCGGACAAATGGCGCCGCGCCCGGGGATGTGGAGTATATGCGGACGCGTGTGCTCAGCGCTGGCCTCGATGACAAACACCTGAACAATCGCAGCCAGATGCGCGTCGAGATTGAGTTTCTTGATTATGGCTACAAGCGAAATGTGAGCAGTCACGATGTGAGTATTTAATAGAAATAGAAATTCCATAGCTATCATATTCACTGATATCATATGTATTTCTTTGCCACACCGCCAGCTGCTCTTCTCGAAACAGCCGCAGCTGCTGCAGAATATTCCAGTGCTCTGCTCGCAGTACATTGTGCTCGGCATTTGCTCGGAATGGGATCAGGCCGAGCTGGATACAGTGAAGCAGCTGATAGTAAATCATGTGGTCAGCATCAAGGTGGATAGCACGCAAATCTGCGGCCAAAAATTTGCCAGCGTACGCTGGAAGGATTTTGAGCTGAACGAATTCCTTGTGCAACAGAAGCAAATTGGCGCGCCCATTGCCAACGAGTTGATCATGGATCACTGCAAGAAGTTGTGGAAAGCAGCACCACCATCACCCGTCATTGAGTACAATAACAATAATATCCAGAGCACAGGCGGCTCACCGAAGACGCCCACAGACGTGGCCCGTGAACAGATTGCGGCACGCTACTCGCTAGCAGCTCGCCTGGACGTGCACCGCACACTGGCCACAACGTCACCCCGCCCTCTGAAAACCACATCAGCGGCCAACGAATATACACCACCCAAGCAGCAGCAGCAACTGGTGCAGTTGCAGGTGCAGCCACCAGCTAAAGTTTCGCTTCCTACGCCATTGGCTAATTTAGTAAGAGCTTGATTCCAATTGAAAATCTAATTAATATCATATTTAATATTTGGATTTGCAGACAAATGTTTTGCCAAACACCATCCAGGTAGCACCGACTCACCTGGTTAATGCTCAGAAGGCCGCATATGCAGCGGTCAGTCATCCATACAATCAACATAGTGCCAATAATCAAACTTCCGAATCATCGTCGGGGCTGTTGCCCACGCACAATGTCTACGCGCCCAAACCTAGTCCCAGGCCACTGAATATGTACTATAATGTGCGCCTCAATAATCCCATGCAGCCACAGCCGTTATTGCAGCAACCGGCTTTGCACTTTGTGCCCATACCACGTTATGCACTGGGTCAACCACCGGCTGCGGCGGCGGCGGCTGCACAAAAGCAGCAACAACAGCTACAGCCCATCGTTCCGGCCTTTCGCACCACCAGCCTGACCGTGGGCTTGACCTACGATGTATATGTGAGCTTTGTGGAGAATGGCCCGCATTTGTTTTGGGTGCAGCTGAAGAGCGCCACCAGGGATCTAAATGCAATGATGAGCCAGATCGAACGGATAAGTCTGCAGACGCTCACTCAGTTTCCGGGCGTGGGCACTGCGTGCGTAGCGCGCTTTTCCGAGGATGGCAATTGCTATCGTGCCTTAGTCAGCGCCGTCTACGGCCAGAGATTCCGCGTTGTCTATGTGGATTATGGCAATTCGGAGCTGTTAACGCTAACAGATCTCTATCAGATACCGGAAGAGCTGTTGCTGATCAAACCGTTTGCCTTTCGTTTTGCACTAGCCGGCGCCAAGGAGCTGGGTGCACTCGATGAGAGCATGAAGCGTATTTTCAAGAACTCTGCTTTGTATATAAATTTTCAACTAACAGTGCAGGCGGCGGAGAGCGTGGGCTCCATGCAAACCTGCCAGCTGATGCATAATGTAAGTATCTATCGATATTGTTTTGGGTGCAGCTTTTAATTTATAAACATTTTTCAGAATAACAGCATGTTGGAGGTTCTCAAGAAGCTGAAGAATTCGCGCCAGGCCTACGCTAAGGCGGAGCAGCTGCAGAACGACGATGCTGTCGAGATACGTTACATTGACTCGCCGAGCAATTTCTATGTGCAAAAGGTTAACAACATAGAGCAATTCGAGCAGTTGATGGACGAGATGTTTGCCTATTACAATATCAATCAACTGGTGCCCGAACAGCTTGTGCTGGGCGCGCCCTGTGTGGTTAAGTGCGATCGCGAATGGTATCGCGCGGAGCTGCTCCGCGTGGACGACACCACAATTATTGTGCGTCACGTGGACTTTGGCTATGAGCAGCATGTGAAGCGGCATTTAATAGGCAATATTGCCGAGAAGCATCTGTTGATGCCGCGCCAGGCCATCAAGTGCTGTCTGAAGGGATTCGAGAACAGCGAACTGAGTCAGGACAAGATTACGGATCAATTCGAAATGCTCGCCGAGGAATCAAATATCAGACGTCGCACGTTTAGCGTGCGCGTTTTTCGCATCGAACCCGACGGCCTTAATGTGGTCAATCTGATGGCCAAAAATCTGAATGTGATGAAGAAGCTCTACAAGCTGTCCATGCCATTTGAGCAGTACCTGTCGCTGGAGAAGGGACAGTTTAATGCGAACGTTACACGCGCCGAGTCTATAGCCTCCGATGCGCTGCCGCAGCAGCTGGAGAAGGGTCAAGTGCTCAACTCGACGACCGTAGAGAGCGAGGATCGCATGCAGTTGCAGAAGCAGAAGAAAACAAACAATGCAAATAATACTAATGCTCATGCTAATGCTAATGCTAGTGCCAATGCCAATGCGAATGAGTGGGACAAGCACAGCTCTGCCTCGACCAGCTCCAAGGATACTCAATCCCAGCAGAGCGGCGCTAAGCGGCAGCTGCAACAGGCACGCGTAGAACGCAATGGACCTGACAGCAATTTGGTGCGACGCAGTCGTGATATTCGCCCCGACACGAGCTTCGAGAGCCGCAGCACCAGCAGCTACACCAGCGGCATGAGCTCGCCGCGCAAGGGCAATCGCCAGAATGGACGCAATCGCACGGATTCTCCGCGTCTGCAAAATGGCAAAATGGAGGCGAACAAGAATTCGTGAGTTTTAATAACATGACATGTTTTGGCTTAGTTTTAATTTTGCTTCCTTGCAGTCGCCTTAGCAACAGCCAATCGCCGCGCAAGGACGCGCAACAAATGCAGCAGTCTCAGCGCAATTCACCTAATCAACGCTCGCTGAATGCGCCGCAAGGTTTTGCACAGAAGCCGCAGCGTCAGAAATCCACGCTCGATGGTACAATGGCCAGTTCGAAGCGTTCCAGCGGCGTGGAAAGTGATGCTACCTCCAACGCTGAAGCGGCGTCGCCCAAACCTATGCCCGAGCCGGAGAAATATGTGCCGCTGGACAAAGCGTTTGCGCTGCACGACATCAAAACACCCTCCAAGGAGGCGGCCAGTCTGTCCTGGTGGGTCTCGCCATTCCAGTTCTACGTTGTGCCAAAATCCCTAGCTGCCAAATATGACAGTGTGCTGCGAGAGCTGCGCCAGTTCTATCGTCAGAAGCGGCATCAGCCTCTGCAGCTGAAGGTCGGCTCCAGTGTGGTGGTGCGCCAGCGCAAAGATAATGCCATACTTCGCGGCACGGTGGTTGCCTGCAACCACATGCTGCGCAAATATCGCATCTTTTGCGTGGATGCGGGTAATCTGCTGACTGTGACCTCTGAGGATGTGTGGCAGCTGGAGCAG